TTTTGAGGTGATGATTATACTCGGTGTTCCCTGCCTCCACATCCCTCCCCTTGCTGCCACCTTCCCCTCTCCTCCCTGCAACAATCCAGACACCTGTAGTGGGTGTCTCCAGACAGTCACAACTCACCCCACGACCACCTATTGGATTTGTTTCTGATGTTATAGGGTTAGTTTTTGTTGTGTTTTCTATCAGAATAAGTCGTCGACAACCCTTAAGTAGTATCCGAGGACAAGTGGTACTCCGACTGTATCTAGCTCTGAGGTGGTGATTATACTCGAAGTTCCATGCCTCCACATTCCTTCCCTTGCTGCCATCTTCCCCTCTCCTCCCTGCAACAATCCAGACACCTGTAGTGGGTCTCTCCGTACAGTCACAACTCACCCCACGACCACCTATTGATTGTCTTCACACAGTTGCAACTCTCCAGACTACTACCTCCTTGCTGGGTTGATCTCTTGTCGTCCCAGCATCCCCTGTAGGCTTTCAAACTGCCCTTCTCTGGCCCTCCTACACCTTAACCCTACCCTTCCTACCACCAACCACCCTTCCCGACCGTAACCCAATCGCCAACCAATCGCAAATTTCTGACATCCAGGTATCCATCCGCTTCCTACCTTCCGCTCATCCTGCCTCCACATATACTAGTTCCCTCTCAAACCGCAGCACCACCACCCTCGACCTAAGCCCTAATTTTGAGTTGTGTTGTCACTTTGGTTATCTCCTATTTCCTTAATTTTGGTTGTAATTGCTCTTTGATTTCAGTAACAAATTTTGCATTTCTCGTTGTCATTGGTTAACTCTGATATCATGCTCTTTGGCCTGGAACATAAATTGGGAAATGAGAACCAATTAAAATTTTATCCCAAGTTATTTAAGTGCCCTTAATAAGAATATCAAATTCCTTGATTCGATAGTATAAAAGAAGCTTATTCCCTTTACCAAAACTTTCACATTCTATATCATGAACATCAAGATATATCTCTCTCCTCGACCAACATGTTTGTAATTATTAGTGCTTATCTTTCTTGGATTAAACAATTTTAAATTCTTAGGTAAAGACTTTCTCATTTATTAACTATTTTCTAGAAAAATTATTAGACATTTTGAAAATAATATAACAAATAATTTTATCAAAAATACTCAAAATGGTTATTGAAAGAATAGTGCCACACTACTTAACCTATAAAATAAACAAAACTACCAAACAATGATTTGAGAAATGTATTACACTTCAAGTACCTTATAAAACTTGAGAAGGCCTTTCTACAAATTTTAGCTTAAGTTAGCCTAGAACTCCCAAGGATGATATAAAAATTTTATCATTGTTAATAGATTTATTAAGGTAACTCATTTTTGCCATTTTCCAAAACAAAATATGCCTTAAACATTGAATAACAATGTTTTGAAAAATTGTCAAATTGCGTGATTTGTGAGGAACTATCATTACTAAATGTAATATTAGGCTTGTTATATCTTCTTAAATAAAATTGAAAATTATTTAGAGATCAAAATTCCCTTGGTCTTTCAATAACAAATTAAAAAAATAAAAGAAGTAACTAATTTATTACGATGCCTTGTGGGTTAAAACAAGGGCACATGAGATCTTCACTTGCCAATGTTTGATTCATTTATAATATTATCATTTCAAAAGTGATTAAAAAACTCATTTGAAATTAACTACGTTTATAATCTCAAGATGCCAACTGATCTAGATGGCCTTCACTGTCATTTTTTTTTATGTGGCATTTACATTTGTACATGACTTTCTTCACACAAATGTGAAAACCAAGGTATACAATTATCAATATGTTAAAATTGTGAATCAAAAGCATTTTTCAAGTGAATAAAATGATATCAACTACCTTAATTCACATTCATCAATAATGCTATGTAAACACAAAACAAAAAAAGATATATATATATATATATATATACATACATACACACACATGAAATTGTGGCCAATTCGAAATTAATAGAAAACTTTGACAGAAGTTTTAAATTCTTTTTTTTTTTTGTTGATTATTTGTTATGTCTTTAATGTGAAAGATATGTATCCTATGAAGGAATTATATATCCTAAATACTTGGAAACTAACCCGCTTGCTAGATACCAGGCTCATTAATTGCAGTTGCATCTCCATCCAAACTTCCTCAAAATTTGAAGGTATTATTTCTAATCAAGCTTCTAAATCAACAAGCACGGTCATAATCAATTGAAAGAATCAGATTTTGTTTAAAAAGACCTAAATAACTAAGGAAAATTTGCAGAAACTTGCACCATACTTCCAAGAGTAGCTAGGTCTGCCCTTCTTTCATCAATTTCAAAGGAGCTCAAATTAATGCCACTCAACTTCCAAGTGTAGCTAGGTCAATCTCCCTGATTATATGAATTTCATTAACAGATAAATGTTCTACTCTTTTTTTATAAAACAATATTCTTGTCATTTTTATAAATAGAAGTCACTTGTGACGATAACTAATTATTTAATAGTATTAAAGTTTGGTTGCTTACTGCAATTCAAATGGTTGGTTGGTTTTTTTCCTCTTTTGCTCCTCCTCCTTCTGCCACATATCCAAATCCAAATTCAAAGCTCTCAAGTTTCCCTTCGCAAATCTTAAATTGCCTTAGCACCTCCATAATCCAAATGCTGATAAACCTAACATTACACAATCAAAAACTCCTCCTAACTTCACCATTCTTATTAAACATAACCGCACTAACAAAAGCAATTCAAGACAAGCCCATATCCTCCGAGTAATCCTTAATCAACCTCGCCATCTCCATTCCACTTTCCAAGCCAAACCCACATCCTTTTATAGCTCTTGACCAAGGGGCTAAACCTTAATTATGACTGACTAAACCCAACCTCAATCCTTCATAAACCCTCTGTATAATATTTCACCACAACTATGAATCATCTACTCTCCAGTAGTACACAACAAAATAACAAGTCACTTCTCATCCATTTTAAATCCTCACATCGCCGCGATTAAGTTCCCTGGTGGAGTACACTACAACAAAGGGGGACATTATTTAAAACGGATCAAGCCAACCACTAAGGAAGTTGCTAAGGATGGAGGCTCATCAAGAGAAGATAGAATACACAAATTCCATTGATGGGGTGTAGTATTTCAAGGTAAGCCCAATAAAGGAGTGGCCAACATGTAGGTTATTGTTTCCATAGGAAAGGTTACCACCATAAAACTCTAATGGGAAGACTACTGGTGGGTCAACCACTATAGGGATCATTAAGGTGTAACTAAAGCCAAAAAAGATTGGCCCTATAAAAGAAAACCCAATCTTAGGAACGTGAACTTATTCCTCAATCACCAAATGGGGGGAGGTTGAGTGAGATGGAACCGAAGCATATGGGAATGGTAGACAGGGAGTGCAATATGTGTTAATTGCCAAAGGTTGCAAAGAATGGAAGGCCTTCAAATTTTTAAGGTGATGTGACTATAAGGTAAAAAGGAAAAAAAAGGTGCAAAAAAAGAACAAAAAGTTTCATAACTAATCTATAAAATTTACATAGAAAAAGGACAACAATCGATGCAATTCGTCTAGCCAAAAACAATTGAGCATTCATCCAAAATTCCTACACACTTGACATCTATCTAGAGAAACTAGCCGCTCCCTTTTGCCCCTTTGTGTCAGATTGCATCTTGTTGAACAAATACACTTTCAATGTTCAGAGTTTCTAAACTTACATCCCAAAAAATAATTTATCAATCTTAACTATAAAATCAACTCCATCCTTCAAAATCTTAGTCCAAATATCACAGGTGAAAATCTATAAAAAAACCTTCAAATTATTCATTGGTCGGAGGCTGGATAATAGTTATTCAAGCAATATTGATAAAAAAGAGCAAAATCAAGAGAAACCTATCCAAAAATGCAACCATTTTCGCGTTGAAGAGAATGTTGATCCACAAGCTTTAGGTTACGTTGAAAGGAATCCACTTTAGCCATAAAGGATACTCATGTTTTATGGAGAGGAGCAAACAAATTATGTTCTCTTTTCAACATTGGACCTAGCCTCTCAATCGTTGATTAATATGTGAATGAGTTAAAGAAGGGGTGGTATCTCGGTATTCTTCATCATATGAAACCATAGATTTGGAAAAGTTTTGACTTCTAAATAACAAATAAATATCCATAGATAGGGTGGGGGGCAGGCAACTAAATGATCACATCCATCAATACATTTTGAACCCTACATTCTCGTAGCTGATCCTAGTACGACTTTCTTTAATGGGTATCTTTCCTTTGAAAGGGAATTAATTCAGAAATCCAATGTATGATTTCTATAAATAATTATTTCTTTGTTCTGCAATCACCCAAAGAATCCAACGCAAGTTATCAATGGAAAGCAAACAATTCCACTTATCTGCACTGGCTTACAATATCCATGAAATTTCACATTAGTTTCATCGATAGGATTATTAAACGGATTTGAAGGATCAAAAACATCCTTGATGATGATTTCAATTGATTTATTTTTATTTAATCAAGCAACATAAAAAAAAAGAACACAATAAATTAATTCATTTGAGAACGCATATGCACATATCAGATCTTGTGAAACCACTGGAGTGCAGAAATCCTTATAACAGCCAATATTTCGGATTGAGACAATCCTGGAAATAAAATGGACCGAAGCAAATAAAAACCAATTTTACACATTTCGTTGTTTCTGGGAGTTCTTCAATTCACACAAAGAAGACTATAAACCGCTAGCGGGAATACAAAAATACCCAGCAGATTCCATCAAATTGCCCACGGTAAAAGCATTGCATACTGAAAAGCTTGAACTCATAGTTTGCAGCGCGAATGGCCAGCACTATCAAATGCCATACAAGTCTCAAACTACCCAAACTTTTAGTGGATCAAATCCAATTGAATCTTCTTAACAAACAAACTCACTCTCAGACCATAAGCTGTCATAGAAAAAACTTCTCAGATAAATGATCTGACCATGTACGGGAGAGAGCGATACCTGGCGAGCGAGCTTCCGATAGGCAGCCTTGATCTCTTTGCTACTCGCCGACCTCGAAACTCCAAGTGTCGAGTAGTAGTCTATCGAAGTAGCGGCAACAACGAAAACGGAGAAGGCTCCGCCGCTGCTCCGTGGGCGGCTCCGACGCCTCTTTAAGTGCCGGAAGGCGAGTGAAGCATCACCGAAAAGGTTGCTGTCCGTTGAACAAATAGAGAAAATTGCGCCACCTCGAGAGAACTCAGGCTTAAACCCTAGGTTGGTTTTCGAAGGAACAGGCGGCAGGGAAGATAGCGAAACAGCCATTCTCTCACCACGAGAGAAGCATGCTAGACGTTCGTTTTATGGCTGCGAGAGGAGAGTGAGTTTCCTAGAGAGATTGGGGAGACGTACGATGCTACATATCCACGACTAAAGGGCTTGCCAATGAGCCTAGAAGACCCATCCAATGGGTCTACAAATCCCATCTAATGGCCCTAGAAAGCCCATTTTAGAAATGAAAACACCGATTAAGTATAAGGAAAAGAATATACATGCAATTTGCAGCACAGGCCGAAAAAATTTTGTTCGTTTTCTTTCATAATTAGCGTTAATTGATTATATTAATAAATATAGTAATATATGCATATATTACTGTGCCTATAATTATTTATATGTGAATACAATTAATAAATAATCTTATTGTGTATGTAGGGAAGCTGATGCTTCGATTGATAATTTAACAAGCTCAATTCAATCGAGAATTTTAATTTATATCCTATAAAAATTGAGCCGAAGATAATGTTGTAAATGAGCTGAGCTTGAGTGAGCTGAAGGTTTGTTCGTGCTTGCCTCGTCAATTTCTTTTTTTTTTTTTCATGTTCGGCTCATGTTCGAAATAGCTAGTGATTTGCATATTCGTATTTGACTTGACTTAAACTCAATTATTCAAATTAAGCTATTTTTCAGCTCAAAATAATAATTTATTAAAACTCCTCCAGCAGGGACGAGTGAAAAAACCACCATGAAAATTGAGAGTCACGAAATAGCTAGTGATTTGCATATTCGTATTTGACTCGACTTAAACTCAATTGTTCAAATTAAGCTATTTTTCAGCTCGAAATAATAATTTATTAAAACTCCTCCAGCAAGGACGAGTGAAACAACCACCATGAGACTTGAGAGTCATAATTTAAAGGGCATGAGTTTTTTCCCCCCCTTGTATTGGTCAATGTGGAATTAAGTTAGAAAGGCTGAGACCACGGGCTAGATGGAAGGTGGGATTAGGGGTGGAAATGAGCCGAGTAGGCTCGCAAGCTGGCTCCGAGATTGGCCCGTTAATGGGCTCACAAGCCGAGCTCATCGAGCCACGAGCTCAAGCTCAAACTGGAGCTCATTTATTAAACAATTGGAGCTCATCCTGGCTCGGCTCGTTAGCTCAATCAATCTACCACTAGTCATTCTTCTCCATCCACCAAACAATTCGTGCTTGAGTTTGACATGACAAACTTTTCTACACAATTTGTGGCGGGAGGGAAGTACGGTTTGGGGGAGGGACTACAGCAAGGGCAATGAGTAAATTTTCTTACATTTACAAAACATACCATCTAATTCTTAGGTATTATTTACATATTCAAACGAGGAAAAAAATTTTTTTTATTTACAATCCTAATTAAAATTATTTAAAATTTTTAAGCTTAAATATTTTTTAAACAATAAAACTTTTACAAAATAAATATCATAATAATATTATTTATTTTGTTCAATTAAGGGAATAAATATTATTTCATCTTAATCCATTCCTTTCTGATTCAATGAATGAATCAAAGATGGACTATTTAATAAGCCGAGCATAAACTAATCGGGCTCATATATATTACAATTGTCATATGACTTAAGGGCCTGGGTCAGGCCCACCGTCATGTGATCCCCATGCGTAAGGGCCCACCAACAAAACTAATTACTTCTTTAATCCTCACTTCCAAAATTACCCTTACTTAGATCGCTTAGCAAAAAATAGATCAGAAGCACTTTCCTTTAATTGCTATCTTCTAAGACGAGGGTCACATCATCAATCCCACACGTGGGTCCCACTCCTATACAGACCGATCACTTAAAATGAGAATGGCATGTAAAGTAATTATTTAGTAAAAAGGGGCTAATATTTGTTATATAGCCCAAACTCGTTACAGTAAAAATAAATCTATCGCCATTAAAGCCGGATGACGTGGCACACGAAACCAGCGTCCAAAGGCTTCGCAAAATCTAATAGAGATCTCGTCCGTTGTACCTTCCCAAATACGACGCGCTAAAGCCGGTTCGGATCAGGCCGGTGGGCCATTGCCGGGCCGCGCGTGCGCTTGGGCAGAGGCCATCTCACGTCACGCGACGTGCTCCACACTCATCGAGGCCCACAAGTGGGACCACACTAATCAGGCCGGTGGGCCATTACCGGACCAAAGTGACTTAATAAAGGACAATTTTTTTAAAATTATTTTATGTCTAAAATGTAAACCTCACGATTCCTGCGTTTTCACAAATCAAACACCTAAACATTCATTTTTACGTATAGGCCACCCCCACCAATGGCTAAGCCATGAGGATGAGGTGGCTTATATGTAAAAATAAAACTTTATATCTTCGAGATGTGTGTATATGGAATGGGGGTGGTAAGTATGTGAAAGCCACAAGCATACCACTCAATTTTTATGTATTTGAAGTAAATTAAAACATGAAAGTTAACGCATTAACATATGAAATCTAAACATAAATAAAACGTCTGGGGAAGGAAATTTATAGGATAAAATGATGAGAAAATCACACGACTTACATTACAGGTGTATGAAAACACAGTTAACTAAGATGCATGAGAAATGAAAGCACGAAAATTGTTATTGTGTGTATAAAAATGAAACAATGTAAGAAGTACAAAAAACGCAAACTCGAGCAATCGATCCTTGCAATACACTGTGATCCTCACCGTTCAGAACGAGCTTTTCGTAGATCTCCCTTATACAATTGCACTTATTAACTCATCAGAATCTCTCCAAGCTCGCAAGAAACAATTCTAGGAATCTTTCCTGAGGATAACAATTGAAGAAAATCATAGGGTTGACAGAGACTCTACTAAAACCTTAAGATAAGCAACTTCAACAACTTCCAAGTGTTCCTTAAGTCGTCCTAAGTCGTGCCCAAGTTCTCGTTGTATTGTTATTGCCGAAATTTCCAAGGAAAAAGTAGCCAAAACTGGACTTCGTGTGACTTTTGTTAATTACATGTATGTATCATATAATTTGAAATATGCTCTCATCTAACTAAATAAACTATATATTTACACACAAACAACGCAATATTTTGTGTCGCGTACTCGACCTGTTTTTTGGCATTCACGGTATAATACCCCTCAGGTCAGGGGTTCGAACTCTATGTCATTCCACATTACAAGACCCCAACCTTAAGGAGGAGGTACTTCAATTGTTAGGCACATTATGAGTGGCTGAAGGCTCGTAGCATTCCTAAAATTAAAAAAAAAAAACAGTAATTTATAATGATTTTGTTATATCAACTCATTGTCTATATCCACACTGATGAGTAAGTAATTGATGTCCACTATACATCCATGAATAGTTAAAGCAATATCTACATAGACAGAAGAAAAGACAGTGAGATGAGAAAGAACAAAAACTATACACTGACGAGCATTAAAGCAACAATCTTCAGTAAATTTCATGAACTAAAAAAAAATGGAATTTATATAAATTTCTTATATACATTTAACATATAAACATACATATTTACATGCATATGACTCGAATCTTTCACTCTTTAGGTGGCCTTTAGCTGCATCTTAGATTTACGTTAAATAGGATTTATGAAATCCTGTAAATCCGGATTTTGTCTGAGCCCTGCTGCGGCGGAAGAGTTTGGGAGTAACGGTGGAATAAATTTACCTCACAATCAGATTTATGGAATCTGGATTTACGTCTTAGAAGTGGCGAAACGCAAGAATGAAAGATGGTACGCGAGAAAACTGCAGCTAATAGAGCGTTAGATTGAATTTTTATCTTTTTTTATGTTTCGTTGGATCTAAGTTAAATTCATGACTAATTTCAATTAATACCATGCTACCAAACATCACCTTAAACTTGAATTTTTATACATCAAAAGTGCTGCTTTTTTTGAGTGCTATGTTTACAAATATGAAAATTTAGATGTGAGAAATGTAAATACATAAGAAGTGCATGATATGTATGTAAACAGGGGTAGACCCAAGTTGGGACCAAGGGGGACAATTCCGCCCTACCCCCACCCCACTCAAATTACCATATTTTACTTGTATAAGAAAGGAATTTGGTATTTTGTCCCACTTGAAATATTATAAATTTGGTCTTTTGTCTCTCCTGAAATATTACTTTGTCCTTCGT